CATGAATTCAGGGTTCATAATATTTTTCCACATTTAGCTTTGACATTCTTAGCTCATACCCTACGTGCACCCTTTATTGGCCTGCGTATTTACCTGTATAAGCTATTGTGTCTTTCTCCATACCTTCGCAACATCTTTTCTTTTACAAAATTGTCTATAAAACGAAAGTTTATTTCCATGTAAAAATCTCTGCTTTATTCGTTTAATTGACTTTAGATTCACCAAAATTACCTTGCTGGTAATGTGCATAGCTTCATTTAGTTCGACATGGGTGATACCAAATGCAGTATCACGAAGTGTCCTGTGGAAAGCAAAGTTTCTGTTGTACTTGAACTGGGTGACAACAAGAATGCTTCTGCAAAACCAAAATCTTCCGTCCCTATCTCAAACTCCGGAGGTAGTATTGCGTCAAGCCTTATCGAGCGTGACGCCGCAATAGCGGCCTCGCTTGAGGCTCCCCTTCGTAGAAGTAGCCGTGGTAAAGGTCGAGCTGGAAATAATACTGGTGCTGGAAACGGTTCGACTGGCGGTGCTTCTACAGGATCAGATGATCGCATTCAGTCTTGTGTCGTCGGGGGTGTTGAGTATCGTGCAGGCAAGCACAATTTGCTAAATATAAAATAGTGTTTGTTCTCACATTTAAATGCGTCTAATCGTTATACGCTAAGAATGAGTCTAAGATAGACTTAAATGGTTCGGAATCTTAGGTCCTTCTGAGGATAGTTTGTTTTTGCAATGTCTATCAGTCTTATCAGAGGATGTTCGGATCGCTAGTTTTATTTCTCTCTGCCTTCATCAGATGCTGCCCCGACTTTGTCGTTTCGCCGACAGATTTTTCTCATCCTTTTAATATAAGAGAGAGGCATTGTATGATCACTTGATCCTAGTGGAATTCTATTGGATAAAATATTTTGTACATTATCTAGATTTTTACACAATGATTATTTTTTATTTTATTCTGAGCCTAATTTTATTTTAAATTCCTTCCTAAACGCCGATATCATTGACCGGAAATAATTCATACATTAAATTTGCATAGGTTGAGAGGATCGCTTTCCCTAGCGACTCACTGGCATTCAGACTACATGGTTCTGCTTCTATCTCACGAACGCGATCTGGATCACGCCTTTAGTTTTTATGTGATCTATCATGACTATATTGCTTTAGTGTTGGTTTGACTCCATTTCACGACTTGGTCGGAGCGATGGAAAGGTCTTATGGAACATACTTAGTTCTTCGTCTTTGAGTAATCATGATAATTTCATGCATCGGACCGTTGATTTGGTACATTTACATGGATTTGTTCGTTATCGTCGGTGAAGGGCATCATCCTTAGGATAGTTGCAATTTATCGAAGCCATTAGCTAAAGGAGACAGACCACATCACCTTGATCCTCGTATCCACTATCTAATAGCTTCATTTATACTGATAGCTTAATAT